CCCCCCCCCCCCCCCCCCTGCGCCCTACGCATGAAGGAGCGATTGATGATCGGTGATCGGTCCTGTGGCAACCATGCCCCGTCCTCTCGAGGATGCGTGGTCAACGGTCTGACAGATCAGGCATGCAAACCATGCGTGCGCCCCCCCCTCCCGCGACCGCCTCTGATGGCCCCTGGTTGTTATAATCCTCGGTAACCCGCACTCTCGTCTGGTGCCATGACTCTTTTTTGGGGTGCTTGGCTTGGCCCCTGCAGCGCGCCAGCTTCGCGGATCTGAGCAGCCAGGCGGAGCTAGCCGCCGCGGAAAACGCGGCAAACGGTATCGGAAACACACCACCGAGATCAAGAAGTATCAGGTGTGCGGTCAGGGAGAGAAAGAAAGAGAGAGAGCACGAGAGAATGAGAGATAGAGAGGAAGAAAAAGAGAAGGAGAGAGACACAGAGTCAGAGACAGAGACAGAGACAGGAGAGAGAGAGGGAAAGAGAGAGAGGGAGAGAGGGAGTCAGAGACAGAGAAAGGGGGAGACACGGGGGAGAGTCTGTGGTGCGTTCAATCTCGTTTTTCCATCGCTATCACACTGCTGCTTCTACGTGTGTACCTTTGTTGTTGTACACCAATCCGGGCGCCGCACTGGCGTACCCCCAGGGCTGCGTTCGCCCGGAGGAAAATCTTGCTACATCTACTCGCAAATCGTGCACGTACACCGCTTGTTCCTTCCTCCGGCCTCCCCTTGACACAGCGCCCCGCCCCTCTCTCCGAGTGCATCTCCGAGGGGCGGCGGACGAGGGGGGGGGGCGGCGGAAGCGCCGCTTTCTCCGGAATCTCCGACACACGCGTCGCGGGGCCGCCTGAGAGCGGTGAACGGGTCGATCGCCAAGTCCATGCACCGCTTCGCCGACTACGGAGAGCTGAAGAAGGCGGCGCTCATGGTGACGGCGTTTCAGCTGGACAGGAAAGAGATCAAGCAGCTCAAGGTGCGGTGGCGGTGGAGGTGGCAAGAGACGATTGTTCCCGCTCCTGCGCGCGCGTGCCTAGAGCACTCCCTTGCCGCGTTGGCATTGGGTTGGTAGTATGAGCGGTCTTTTGCCCCAGCCTCTGCTGAAAACTTATGCCGTTGCCAACAAAAAAGAGGGGTAAAGCGCAGCAAATGGTTTCGCCCTGCTCACCCTGTCCCCTCCCCCTCTCTGACCGTTCTTCTTGCTACCCCGCGCTTTTGTTTTTCTTTCCCAGGATGCGTTTTTGGAGGTTGACACGGAAGGAAACGGCGCCATCAGCTTGGATGAGCTGCGAATCGTGAGTTGATTATTTTTGTCTTGTCGATGTTGTTGCAGCTGCTGTCGTCGCCGTCGTGGTCATTGTTGTTGTTGTTGTAGTTGTTGATGATGATGTTGTTGTTGTTGTTGTTGTTAATTTGTTCCACTTGAACTGCTGGAGCTGTTCCCCGTCCGACACTCTCCGACCTGGCGTGTCCGGTGCAAAAAGGACTTGCCGCTTTGCCCCCCCCTCGCGATAGGTGAGATAGGGAAAATCATTTTTGAGCCACCTTTGGCAAAGTAGGAAGGAACGATTGGCCTTTCTGTCCTGTGGGAACAGTGCTCCGTCCTTTCGAGGACGCGTGTGGTCAGTGGTCCAACAGCTAAGGCGTGCAAACCATGAGTATCCCCCCTTCCCCATGCCCTCACGGCGCTCCGCGCTTGGTGATGTGAGAGCCTGGCCCGGTGAGAACCCGGCGTGCTCCGTCCCGGCTTTGTAGGGATGCGAGGTCAATGGTCTAACGACTACGGCATGCACGCCTATGAATACCCTCCCCTTCTCCCTTTCTTGGTCTTCCGTTCCAGGTGCTCCGCGAGCACGGGGTGGACGGCGCAGAGGTCGACAGAGTCTTCGGCGCCGTCGACATGGACAGCAGCGGCCGCCTACACTACATGGAGTTCCTGGCAGCTACGATAGAAGCGAGGGGTTACATCGAGGTGTGTTCTTTTAGCGTCGAGTTTGTGTGTTAGTTTGTTGAGGTTGCATCGAACGCGCTGATCGATGCGAAAATATGAGGATATAGTCCAGTGTTTTCACCGGGACACAACATTCCTTTCACGAAAGGTTGTCTAGTCCGCGAAGTCCACCCCTCGTCTAGTGTAATACTTTTGTCTGTTCGTTTGCATGATGCGACGAAAATTGAGTCTTTTTCATGAGATGGGGTAGCAAACGCCCAACCCGGGTGTGCTATTTTTGCTTTACGCTTCCTTGGTGACATGTCAAAACGGAATGTTTTGTCGGGGGCGTCTCAACAATTGCGTTTCCCGCTCGCTTTCCACCCTTGTTGTAATAATTTATGGTAGAAGAGCTTTCACCGCGAGCGCAACTCTTGTCGAGGCGTTGTTTGCTTGTTTTCCGGCCGAACATTTTTTCGTCCTCCGGGTTTGGTCTTCGCACAATAGGTACTGCATGGAGGCCAAAAGGAGGGTTTCTTGTTTGTAAAGAACACATTAACGGAACTTAGGCCTAACTTAGGCCTGGGAAAGAGGAGCCCTGAAATACGCTTTTGAGCTGCTATAGTGCCCGCCGATTTTATGCCGTTTTTCCCGGACAAACGTCCACCTGATTGCTGCAGCTCTCTCCCTGTCTATTGATCCGTGTCGTCAGCGCTCAGACTCATGCGGGCGGTTTCTTTTCCTGGCTGCCGCCTTTTCTTCGTTCGCTTTTCCTTTTGTCTTAATAATAACATAATACTATTATATGAATAGTATCACACAACGAATCTATCTCCGTCCATCGATAACAAGTTCATTCTTTTTTGGCAATTTATTTTTTATGTGCATGTGTGTCTTGTTTGTTGTCGCGCCCTGGTGGCAGGAAGAGAGCCTTAAGGATGCCTTCGAGAGGTTGGACGTGGACTCGACGGGCTTCATCTCGCGGGACAACCTGAAGGAAGTGCTGGGGAAGACGTACGACAACGCTCTCATCGACAAGATGCTCGAGGTATGAATGCGTCGGGGTTGGGGGTTAAGGTAGTGTTTTGGAGAAGGAGGTTGGGGGGGGGACCGAAAGGGGGGGCAAGAGACA